ATGGATGAGCATTTCCTAAACCCTAAACCCCTAAACCTAAACCCTAAACCCCAAAACCCCTAAACTCCTAAACCCCTAAACCCTAAACCCCTAAACCCTAAACCCTAAACCCTAAACCCCTAAACCCTATATCCGATTTGGCCAGGATACTGTAGGGATCCTTGCAGTGGCTGGCATCGTTCCAGTAGCGAACCTGCAGGCCGACCCGGTTGAAAGGAGGACCCCCAACCCCCCATGGCTGGGTTTAGGGTTTAGGGTTTAGGGTTTAGGGTTTAGGGTTTAGGGTTTAGGGTTTTTGCTTTGTCAGAGGAAATAGCTGCTTTGTGTGAAAATGTTGAGATACCCTCTGGGAAATAGTTGTTTGGCTTTGTGAGAAGATGAAGAAGCCCGACAGAAAACGGACGTAATTATTCGGGCCCCTGTAGCACACCCTACATACCCTATTTTCCTAAAGCCCTGAAGCCGAAACTAAGCGCACGGCTTCTGGGGTCTCTGCGTGGGGCCTCCAGAATTGAAAGAGTTCTGGGCCTTGAGCGCTTCTGCCCAAAAGGTCCAATCTAACCTAGGGTTTAGGGGTTTAGGGTTCAGGGTAGTCGCAGCCGCACTGGAAGAAAACTCCTCTGTGTCGCTTTTGGGTTTTGAGGCTCACTCTACGTCGTTAGTTCATGGAGCCTAGGGGTCTTTGCCTGTACCAGCTTTGGTGGATAAGGCGCCGTCAACTCTACTGAAAGGTTGTTGGTTTAGGGAATAGGGTGTAGAGTTTAGGGCCGGGGTTGAGGGTTTAGGGGGTCCACGCGAAGAGGCGCATCCTTCGAACCAGAGCTTTACCCATGCGAGACGCTTCAGCTGATTGGGTACGGATAATGCCTACCTTAAGAACCCAAAACCTACTTTTTTGTAGGGTCCCTATAAATCCCATATTAGGGTTTATAATAAGAGACTACAAAAAAGTGGGTTTGGGGTTCTTAAGGTATAGCCCATTGAAAAAAAGTAAAAGCAAGCCTGCATCCTAAGCCAATGCCCAGGAAGCTCCTCCCATCCTCGAACCCGCGCACCACCAGAGGCTTTAGGGTTAAGGGTTCTATCCCGAACCCCCCAGGTACCTACTATATAGGGCCCTAGGGGCTATAGTACCCTATATAGTAGGTACCTGGGGGGTTAGGATATGATTCTGCATGAATTCCGAGGACGCACGGATAGACGGTTGCACTGCTGCAACAGCCAGGGCATATCACAGTCCGTTGATTTGGATTGTGATATGATTCACCCTTAAAGAAGCTGGTGTTCCAATCGAGCCCTCTGCCTAGGTTCCGGGGCAGAGTGTGCGACAAGTACGAAGGCGGCAAAGTAGGAATCCAATCTCTAACCCGAAGGGTCCTATATCTTACAATGTGGTAGAATGTAGTGTTTCTGGATTAGGAAGTACTATTATGATCTAGGGAAGTATCCCCCATAATCGTACATAGGACCCTTTGGGTAACGGCAACATGACACGGGAAGAACACCAACGCCGAGTGAGGCTCCGGAGTTCGTACATAATACCCATGAGCCAGGTTGCAAATCTCAAGCGTAAGCTTTTGGGACTTATAAGCAAATGGAGCAGATACCCGGGTGACTCATCTTCAACTGGCTGGCTTTTGCACTCCTCAGGTTTGAATGTCGAGTAGCGTCCCTGCTGTGGCTAACGAGGGCAGCACAAACGAGTCAAAGACCTAGGGCAGCCTTGTTGTAAGCACATCCCCAACCCGAAACACTGAAGCATGATACACAAAACACTCTTAAACCAAAGACCCGGGGCCCTGACCTTGATGGGGTCAGGCCTCAGCAAGGGTCAATTTGCTCTAGATGCAGTGTGCTCACCACAAGTTGGTGGTTCAGGGGTCAAGGCTCAGGCGTCAAGGCTTTGGGTCCTATGTGCTAGGACTCAAGGTTTACGCTTAGGGTTCAGGGTTTAGGGTTTGGGGACAATACAGGCTTTAGGATGGATTGAAAAGGCGGGCATTGCTTTAGTGAGGAAAATGCAGGCTGCGCCAGAGCGAGGTGCCAGAGTGAGCTGAACGTTCCTGCTCGAGTGTGCTCGGGTGGCAGCCCTGGCTAGTGTGAAAAAACGGGAGGCTTAATTGTCAGAAAGGGCTCTGCTATAGATACCAAATGGGAGTTTCA